GCCTGCGAGAGCTTGTCTTTGGGTTGGGTTGGTGGTTGGATCATAACAATTCGTACACGTCTCAGATATCCCAAATAAAGTATTGCTTCCCATTGTGATATTGGCCATAATTAGCTTCATTGCCTGGCAGTTTCAAATTATTTGGCAATAAAAGTGTCAGCAAGCCTATAAAAGTAAAATACATGCTTAGAGGAAGATGATGCTTTATTTTAAAAAAAATGGTATACAGTGACTTTATGAAGAAAAGAACCGTGGCCGTTTATAGTCCACAGTTTTCAAACCTAAAGTATTACGCAAAGTGTTTTGTGATGCTTCACAGTCAGAAGTTAAGAAAGCTAAAATTGATATCAAAATGCATATTGTTTTTCTGGGCTTGAAAGCGAAAAATTAATTATAAATTTGCATTTTGTGGTGCCAGTATTCTGTGAAAGTAACACTTACACGTCTTCCTCATCCATGTTGTTTCAGAGGGATGGGAGGGGAAAAGAGCTTTTGCGCATCGTGTCATGTCGTGTTTCAGTTACAGTACTGATTTACAAGCCTGTATTCACTTTAAAATCAACAGGACTTGAAATATTTTCTCCAAACTCCCGTCCTGGGTTCCTGCACAGGGAGCAGAACCCCAGTTCGGTCGGATGCAGAAGGGCCGCTGCCAGCGGCACCGGGGACCTGCCGGGGAGGGGCTGAGAAGCTCCTGTGAGGAGGGGCACGTCCAGCCGATCCTTTCTGCAAAGCTGTGGAATGTGACACGTGTTTCTGCTTCTTTTAGACTTGATACTGGTTTATGTACAAAATGATTTGAAGTTGTGGTGTCAGACCTTTTCCCTGTGAAAGGAATGAAATGCTCTTAGTAATTTTTGAAGGTGACTTCTAAAACAGATGCGGAAGGCAACTTCTTTTTCCACGCTGTTGGCTAATGTTGTATTAATGATACGTAAGCAAGTCATTCTGTCAGTAGAGCAACTGACAGGTTATCTGATTTTTCTCATACTTTGCATTGTTCAGTTTTAGTTAATAATGTTTACAGTATTTTGCAATATGTTTGGGAGGAAAGATTATATATATTCACAGAACTGAAGCCTCCCTTAGGAGAGCTATGCCCATGCTTCCAAGAAGGAGTTTGGAATATTTTTGCTATGCTTCTTTTACTTGTGGTATAGCTTCTCATTAATTCTAGAAAACAAATTGAAACAGTAACATGGAATTTTTAGAGAGTGCTCAGGTCTTCTGTCTGTTAAATCTGCTTTATACATCATACATTTTTCACCGTGAAATGAAGCCAGGTAGGTTTTTGTTGCTTTTGCTCCCAACAAAGTGATGCAAAGCAAGATCAGCTTTTCTCTCAGAAGGTTTTGAAAGAGATTGAGCTGTGCAGTAGAAGACTTCATCAGCTTCAAGCTAAATCAGTGAGCACTTTGACATAAACCTGCGCACCTCTCTCTGATCAGCAACACTCCTTCTCTAGCCGCCTTCCCATTTGAGACGCCTTAGAAACCTCCGAAACATCATCTCTGCATTCATTGAAATCAGCAATTAACTGCATCCTTGCTGAAAAAGAAGTAGGGAAGGGATTGTTCTGGAATGAAATTTTTCCTCGTTCAACAGAAAACTGAATTCACAATTAAGTTTTATAATAGACAACATATACAGTCTGCTAGACATGTAGCAGTTATATTTCCCTTTTAGATAAATTAATAGAGTTTGGACATACTTTGTTATATTATTGCATGTGTTACTCTACATTAAACAGTTCTTAAAAGGTAAGCCATAGTTCAAGATGCTTGTAAGGCCTATTTTCATTTGTGCATTTAATTTGTTTAGACTGCTGCTACATTTGATAACAGTCCAAATAACATTAAGTAGTTGTTTCTGTACATGACCCTTGTAAGACTGCATTATCAGGCAGGTAATTTTGTACATGCAATTGAGAATGTACTAAAATACATTAATAATATCTCTTTTACTAGCATTTACTAGCAGCTACCATCTAATTTCAGGGTAAAAGAAATGTATTCTTTCTAAGGAACCAGAATTTAAGGAACCTGCTTTTAGAAACTTTTTCCAGTTAGTCAACAGGAGAAGATAGTAGCTCACATGCATTTTATTTGACTTAAATGTGCTTCACCACTTATTTTGCCTGGCAAGCAAAGATACGAAACTGGGATCTTCTCAGGCTCCCATTATTTCTTCAGGATAACTACAATATTTGGGCTATTTCCATGTCTTGGGCAACATTTTAACTAATGGATATGTTCCCAACTGAAGTTAAATGGCAGAGAATTCCCAATAAGAGCCAAAATATCTCCCAAACGTACAGTTTGGTTTGGATGCTTTTTCACTGAAGCATACAGGCTGGATGGTGTGTTGTGCTCTGAGGTGGAATTTGAAAGATCATCTTCCCTCATGTCTCCTCTTGTTTGGAAGCCAAAAAACCTGAACAAATGGTGCTTCCTAGCTTGTGAGCCTTGTTTTGGTGTACCATCAGCTTTGTGATCCCCCCCCCCCTCCTCCCCCCAAACCCCCCCCATTACTCAGTGCTCCAAAAACTCGAAAAAATACTTAACAACCACTGAGTGATGAATGGGTTTGAGAAAATGCTGATAATTGTAAGGTTAAAGACACAGTTAAAATTTTGCCGGTGGTAAGTTCAGAATAACTATTCTCCAGGTAAAATATAAAAAGCATAGCAACTTCCAGTAGACATGGACAGGGAGTTTGGAAGTTGTTGGTTACAGCTTTACTGTCACCATGCTGAATGGACACTTAACACTTGTAAATGCAACAGAGTTAGGCCACAAAACTGCTGCAAATCCCACAAAGCACCATGCAACTTGATTTGTGATTTTGAAAGGGTTCAGTCTGGGATAGGTTGAAAGATTTATAACTAATCTGAAATCTGTATCTTGTTGGCACGTTAGAGAATGTAGCAGCTTCTTACATGATACTTAGTTGCTGCAACTAGTTTTCTGTATACTTAGATTTTCTGTGTGTATCATTAGTTATTTTTAGAAGCGAGTCTAACCATAAAATCAAAACTTAGGCAGTGTTGATGGGGTTTCTGATTTTGAGGTTTGGCTAGGCTGGTTTACAGTTGCTATGTTGGTGTCAAATCGTGGTTTTTTTACCCTGTGGGTCTCACATTTGCTGTCTATTGTGTATCTTTTTTCAATTAGCAACTTTCTGTTTCAACATACCGTATTTCACATGTAAGTGAATGTATATAGTGTTTGTATCAGCTCTGCATGTACATATATAACTTTGCAGGTTCCCTCTGTAGCATTCTCCTAAGGAGTTTGCTCCTGTAGCTTTAAGCCTTGTGCAGTTCCACATCTGTAAACCATCAGGTTTGTTCCTGAAGTTCCAGTCCTGCAAGTCTCTCTGCAGGTGAACCTTGCCCAGTTTGGGGAGGCTAGCGATGACTTCAGCAGAGCTTGCACTCAGTGCAGAGATTTGTTCACGGAGGAAATTGTAGGGTGGATTTTAAAATTTCTTGGATTAAATCTTCGTGACTATATGTCTGTGTATGCAACGCAGCAAGAAGAGTCCCAGCCCTGCTGAAATATTAGTTAGCTTTATCATGATTGCCTTCGTTTACTTATTGTCCATTGCTTTCAGTAGCGGTTATGCTGGAAATGGTGAACATCTACAACTGAGTGCTGTAGCACTTTTTGTGGTAGCTTATACTTATCTTTACCTAGTCACGTATGCTGGCTGGGGATAGAGCTACGCTGCATGGTTTCCTAAGTACAGCTGTAATTAGGACTCCATGGCAGAGAGGGTGCCCCAGTGGAGTGTCCTTCCTTCTGCTTGTGTTGTCTGACTGACCCTGCTGTGAAGCAGAAGCAAGAGGAAGAAAACTTCAAGGTTTTCAAACACAGTGAAGGAAGATTATATTTTTTATGATGATAAGAGTCTCATACAGTTGTTTGAGGTGGTTGGAAGAAGACTTAAATTAGCAGATTTCAACTCTGATTCTTTACCTAAGAAATCGGGAGGTCACACAAATACTGTGTGTCAAGACCAAAGTCTTATATGTGAAATGTGCCTTCTTGTAATCAATATATGATGAACTAGGCGCGTTATTTGCTCAAGTATTGTTTGGTCCAAATGGTTATTTGGTTATTTGCTGATTTTTGAGCCTGCTGAAACCAGTGCAGTGCCTTATCAGGTAGGCTCAATAAGCATAGTATTGCAAATGTCTAACCTGGTTCTCACAAGGGTGTAGAGACCCACTTGCTATTATAGATTGTTCAGCTGGCAGAAATCAAATAGTGGTGAATTATTGATTCAGGTATAGAATAAATATGCTTCTCAAGGGGTAAGCCCAGTTTTTTGTCCCCATAAAAGAAAGCACTTAATATTTTTTTTCTTCTATCTCTGATGCAGAAAACTGTACTAAATGTTCTTTTCTGGTTGGATCTTCCCATAATCCTTGTTTCTTTAATCCCTGTTAGGCAACTTTGTCTTAAAGGAAAGTTTATATTGTGAGCAGTGGCAGTCAACCTTTATTGGGGACATTTTATTTAAACCATCAGATGTGATTTGACACTTAGATACAAAAGGCCATAATTTAATTAACATTTGTGTATTAAGTTTTGAGGTTAGACCCTTTGTGTGGTGCTAGCATTTCTCAGGAAAGAAAAAAAGGACATGTTTTTTTCTTCTGAGAAGAGGTCCTAGGAGCTGGAACTGAAGAGCTTGAAGTGGATTCCTCATGTACTTTTTCTCTTCCTTCACGCGTTCTCTCAGTGTTTCCATCCGGGACCAGCGCAGCCTGTGAGGGTGTCCATTTAAGCCCTGTGTAATGCAGAGACCCTTCTGCTAGGAGATTCTAAGGGACTGTAGTCTTATTTTACTTAGGAACAGCATTCAAGTGGTGATTATATGGCCAGCTACCAAAATGCAGATGACTCTTAAGTGCAGAGCAAGCGAAATGTCTTCTGTTCTACTATTTCTTTGGAATTAAACTTTCATTTCTTCCCCCTCTGTTTCCTTTTTAGCCTGTTCGATATGGGAGGAGAGTATTACTGCTATGGCTCTGACATCACCTGCACCTTCCCTGCAAATGGAAAGTTCACTCCTGACCAGAGGGCTATCTATGAAGCGGTGCTGAAGTCATCGCGGGCTGTAATGAAAGCAGTCAAACCAGGTAAAAGATCGGTACATGTC